GACATTAGTAAACATCTTTAAGACAATTAGCATTTTTTATTGTTACAATATCTTACTGATTGTTTGCGATAATATCATTAAAAATAGTTATACTTTTTTTTTTTTTTTTAAACACACACACACACAAAAGGGACCTTTTTGGGCAGTTTTTTTGAGGTAGGGAAAGTTGTTGGTGTCTCCATATCCAACTTTGAAAAAAGGCACATTGAGCTCATGCAGGAATTCTACAGCCATCTTAAAAACACAAGACAGAAACACTACAATTAACACACTTAAAGGGGTCATATGATGCGATCTCAAGTTTTCCTTTCTCTTTGGAGTGTTACAAGCTGATTGTGCATAAATAAGATCCCTGAAGTTGCAAAGACTAAAGTCTCAAAACCAAAGAGATATTCTTTATCAAAGTTAAGACTCTGCCACGCCCCCCTAAAACGGCTCATTCTAATACACCCCCACATATCTAGGTCACTATGTGGAAATATTTGCATACTGCCGCCCAAATGGGTACGCAAAGAAAGAAGGCGTGGTTTCAGTAACCGCAGTTAGTGTTGAAGCAGCCATGTCAGGGAGACGCTGTGTGTTTCTAGGCGAAAGCAAAAGTTCTTTATTTGGCCTTCCAGTATGGAACACATCAAAGTACCACCAGACACCTAAGTATCCTATACCATCACTGTACCGTGGGACTGCTAGAGGTAGCGGACTAACGAGAAATATAACAATACACAAGACTTCTGGGTATTTGATGTGATCAGCAGGCTCCTGGCATCTTTCCTTGTTATCAGTAAGTCTGAAGCCAAAAGATCGTATAAAAAATCAAATAAAAAAACAAGATAGTAGTCTAACAATCTGCGTATGCAACCCGCTCACCTCGTCCATTCCGGACGCAGTGAAGAAGAGCGTACTGCTGCAGCTCGCTGTACTGCTCGTGGCTGAACTCTAGATGGCGCTTGTGCTCTCCGTATGTTTTCCCCCAGCAGTGTTTGGAGGTAAGGCCGCTCCAGGGCTTTCTTACTGAACTTAAACTCCAGCTCACTCTTCTGAAACTTCGCACAGTCTGCCCCACAGTCCTAGCAAAGGAGCAACAGTTGCATACAATAATAAATATAAAAACCAATGTAAAATAACGAAACTTTATAATATAATATACTATGTATGAAGACATTTTATGGTATATTATTATAACAATTTCAATTTGTAATAATTCCATCATGAATGGAATGTACAGTATGTACTCATTGCTTTCTTTCAGAAAACACAAAATCAGTACAAAAATAATCTTAAAGCTTATAGCACCTGTATCTATTAATAACATAATAAAAATGTGTATGAGCACATGTAATCTTATTAAACGTCTTTATGAGTACAGTTGTGGTTTATGCGTCAAAAGATACTCTACAGCAAATACCGATGTTGATAAACATAAATAAACTCATACCTTTGCCATCTTGATCATTTTCTTGGCGATTTCAATGTCTCCCTGATGATTCTGTCCGATTTCTGCAATAATGAAACACGGGTTGTTCCCTCCGATCATACGACCGGGACATAACTCAAATTTAAGAGGCATTTTAAATCCAAATGTACAAACACAGCTAGAAAATTTACACGCGTCAAACGCCGAGATGAAAGACCCCGTAGAACTTCCGGGTTTATTTACGCTCACGCCCATGCGTTTCAAAATAAAGTTCTCGTCAATAAAAGACTGAACTTTTCATTATTCATCATCTTTACGGGGTTCTTGTTAAACTCCTGAATTTTGCCACATGTGGTTCAGATGACTAACCACATCCAAATTGGTTTAAGAAGAATCATTAGAGAAGGACAAGGGTATAAAAAAAAGGAACAAATGGCTATTATTTGCATTTTAAATATATTTATATACATACATGTAAATGTGTGTGTATACACACACACATATATATATACACACACACTGAAAAAAAAATTATAAACGCAACACTTTTGTTTTTGCCCCCATTTTTCATGAGCTGAACTCAAAGATCTAAGACTTTTTCTATGTACACAAAAGGCCTATTTCTCTCAAATATTGTTCACAAATCTGTCTAAATCTGTGTTAGTGTGCACTTCTCCTTTGCCGAGATAATCCATCCACCTCACAGGTGTAGCATATCAAGATGCTGATTAGACAGCATGATTATTGCACAGGTGTGCCTTAGGCTGGCCACAATAAAAGGCCACTCTAAAATGTGCAGTTTCACATACACATACATTCAAAATGCCATCAATAAAATGTACCTGTGTTCGTTGTCCATAACATATGCCTGCCCATACCATAACCCCACCGCTACCATGGGCCACTCGATCCACAACGTTGACATCAGCAAACCGCTCACCCACA